GCACCTGGTGCGAGTCTCGGGGCGGGTGCCCTGGCCTGCTCCCCCCAGTCCCCTTGCCCAAGGGGGACAGAGCAGGACTCCCCGTGAGCCTGGCCGAAGCCAGACCCCCCCTCCACACCCTGGCGCGGCCGGGGAGCCGCCGGGCCAAGACAGTGGAGGGGACCCGATTCGGCCGCAGCCGAATCGGGTTTACCGTTTAGGCCCGAAGGCCGGGGTCGGTGCCCCCAACTGCCGAAACCACCCACCCGCCCAAAGCAATGCCGTGGGAGGGTGGGCGGTTTCAGCAGTGGCGCAGCCCCCACGCAGGCCACGACTGAGCGGGTTTCAGTTCCCCCGGACGCCGGGAGGTGCCGCCCACACCAACCGGCTGCCCGCCCGGGGGCTGGAGGAGGAGGAGATGGAGGAGGAGCAGGAGGAGGAGGAGGAGTGGGCGGCCAGGGGCCGCGCGCGGGCCTTCGCGCACCGCGGCGGGGGTCCTCAGGAACTCGCACCGGCCCTCGCCGGACCGCACGCCGGCCTGCGGCGGGCGGGCTCTCGCGGGGCCGGCGCAGGGCGTGGGAGAAGCTGGGCCAGGGAACCTTTGGCGGGTTCCTCCTCCTCCTCCTCCTCCTCCTCCTCCTCCTCCTCCTCCTCCTCTCTTGCTCCTCTTCCTCCTCCTCATGCTCCTCTTTCCTCCTTCCTCTTCCTCCTCTTCCTCTCCTCTCCTTTTCCTCCTCCTCCCTCCTCCCCTACCCGCCTACAGGTTCCTCCTCCCTCCTCCTCCTCTTCCTCCTCCTCTCCTCCTCCTCCTCCTCCTCCTCCTCCTCCTCCTCTTCCTCCTCTTCCTCCTCCTCCTCCTCCTCTTGCTCCTATTCTTCCTCCTCTTCCTCCTCTTCCTCCTCTTCCTCCTCCTCCTTTTCCTCCTCCTCCTCTTCCTCCTCCTCCTACACTTCCGCCGCCCTCCGCGGGCCTTCGGCCGGCTTCCGGGGGCGGAGGGGCAGCCTCGCTGTGACTCCACGGGTTTTTCCGCCGCCCTTCCGCAAGGCGTCGAGAGCGAGGCCGTTTGTTTGGAACGCCTTGTCTGCTGTGGGACCGACGCATTCTGTTTTCGGAACAGATATGTGTTGGAGGTGAACAAGAATAGGCCCAGACAAACACTGTTCGGTTACACAAACCAAATGTGTGAATACACCTTTGGTGTGACAAAAATCGCTCGGTTCCGTGGAAATTGTCAGTCCGACTTTTTTCGCCCCCAAGCGAAATTGATCGATCCCCAACGCGTTTTTCTCGGTCCAAAAAACTCGGTTCGGGGGGAGGAGGGGCGAAACTAGGATCGGAAAAATATCAGATCGTCGTCTTGGGCAGGGACCAGCCGTCCCGGCATTCCGATAGGACTAACCACGACATGTTCTTAGAAATCAGACATGTGCGAAGGATAACAACAATGTTCATATAACGTGAGCCAGATGTGTTTAAACAAGGCAGACTCGGCCAAACATGTTCTTAGAATAAGTCGAAGAAACCACAAACAAACAGTTTTCAGAACATTGTTTGGTGGGCCTATAGGCACGACAAGACGCTGCGCCACTGCTTGATCGTCTGGAGGATCCGTCGGGCGCCACAGCCGTTCCGAACGCTCTGGAACGCTCCATGATTGCTCAGAACGCCCAGGAAAAACAAGAACGCCGGGTCCTGGGCACGCCCGAAGGAAGGATGGCCCGCCCCCGCGCCAGCTGCCCGCCACAGCCGCCAGACACCCGACGCCGCGAACAAATTGACGCGGGCAGATTGTCGCCCCTTTTGGCCTCTGGATGCCCCCTGGCCTCTGAATGCCCGCTGCAGGTCGTCCGGAAACCTGTCGGGGTGAAGGAAACCCGGGGAATGGTCGGGACCTCTGGAGGGTCACGCCGTGAAAAACGACGACGTCACACAGTGTGTGCTCTGGCCAGGTGCTCGGGATGAAGCGACGGCCTGGGAAATGGGTCGAACTGTCGGGAGGCCGACGCTTCAAATAAATAGGCGCTGGATGTCTGGGGATGTCAGAAGAGAGGTCAAGGAAAAGGGGACAAAGAAAAAGAGGGGGAGGGACGGGAGGGCGGGAACTTTAATAATCGAAATGGAAGCAAAGAGCGAGAGAGAGAGAGACAAGAGAGAGAGAGAGAGAAAGAGAGCAAGAAAACACAAACAACAAGAGAGAGAGAGAGAAGAGAGAGAGAGAGAGAGAACACAAAACAAACAAATCTATAAACGCAACAAGGAAAAGTCTGCCGATGGAGAGAGAAAGGAAGAGAGAGAGAGGGATAGTGAGCAATACCTTATACATACATGTATATATACATAATATATTATATATATATATATATATATATATATATATATATGTATATATATATATATATATGGTTGTTGTATATATGTACGTCTAGATGTGTATATATATATATATATATACAAACACAACAAGACCCATCCTTTTGCGTCGCAGCGCAGCAGATCACCGAGGCAGTCTTCGCGCGCCCCCAAGCAACCTGGGCCACGGTTTTGCGAACGGTCCCGCGCGCGAGAGGAAAGGGGGAAAATCAGAGGCGGCCGCGGGGACGAGAGGCGGGAAAAAGAAAGCGCCTGCACGCGGCGGGCCCGCTGGGGGGCCGGGCCGCAAAGCAGCCCCTGGCAGCGAGAGCGGGGCGGCGGCGGTGCAGGGCGGGCGGGGCCCAGCGCGCAGGGGGCTGCAGAAGCTGCGGGCCGCCAGGGCGGCGGGCCAGGGGCGCAGCGGGGGAGGGCCGGCGGGGGCCGCGCGGGGCTGCCGCGGCGGGCCGGGCGCGAGGCCCCGCGCCGGCGCAGCGCGGCGGAGGCGATGCGCGGCCGCGGCGCGGGGGGGGGGGCGGGGCAAAAGGGCCGGGCAAAGCCGGGTGGGCAGTGAGGGGGCCCAGGCGCCGGGCTGCCGCAGAGCGGCGCGTGGAGGCCACGTTATGTGCCAAGGGGCGCGGGGGGGGTAGAGGCGGCGGGCCGAGCCCGGGGCCGGCGCGCGCGTCGCAACCGTGAGCAGGGCGGCGCCAAGCGGAAGCGGGAACAAGGCGAAAGCTCCGGGCGGCCAGCCGGGAGGCAAAGCGGAAGGGCGACGCAGCGGCGACGCCCCCCGGCGGCGGGGCTGCGCGATCAGTCGGGCGGGGGCAAGAGCCAACCTGCTGGGCCCATGGCCAGCGAGGCGGCCTGCGAGCGCGCCGACGGGCTGGGGCCCGCGCGGCCCGGGGTAGAGCGCGCGCCGCGGCGCCCTGGCAACGGGCGGCGGGGGGGGGGCGCGCAACAGAGGCGGCTCGTCGCGCGCCGCGCGCCGAAGCCGCGAGCACGCGGCCACCGCGCGGACAGGTGGCCGCGAGCTGGGCTAGGCGCCAGCAGGGGCAAGGCGCAGCGTCAGGGCAGGGCGCCGCGCCCGCGGGGGGCGGCGGGCGCGCCGCCCGCGGGCCGCGGGGGGGGGGGAGGGCGCGCAGAGTGAGACGCACCTAACCGGCGCACAGATCGTCGACAGGTGATGGCCGACGGAAAGCGTCGCGCCCGCAGCGCACCTAACAGGTGCACAGACAGGTGGGCCAGAGACGCGGGGCACCTCCTGGGGTGAAGGCGCCTTGCTGCGGTCGCAATCCATTTGGGTTGGTGGAGCGCCCCGTGGGCCAAGGAGACATGGCTGGGCCGCCGTCGTCGGTCCGGCGTCGTCAGAGCCCACGCAATCGGGACTGGTCCCCAGTGGGCCAGGATGCTTCGCCAGGAGATTGCCTCCCTGGCCCTTCCCTCTAGCTGCCTGGCTCTGGCGGTTCGTATGTGCTGCTGCTGCTGCCGGACCGCGCCCCAATCGACTTCCAGGTTGCGGTGGTGACATACGGCGCGGATGTCGTGCTCAATCCTGGCCAGGTTCCCGAGGGGCCTCGGGGATTGCGAAAATCGCCGAAACCGCGGGGATTGCGCGCCCCTTTACGGGGGCCCCCATCTCTCTGGCCACGGGTCCTGTTCCAGTCCTCAACCAAGAGGGCGCCACAGGCCACCGGCAGCTTTCAGGCGGTTGGCGATTTTAAGTTTTTAAGCCAGGCGTCGACTCTGCCATCCCTTTCTGTCCACTGTGGTGTCCACAGAATGTCGTGTCTTGCGCGGGCGATCCTGCGGGTCGTCCAATTCCTCCGCCGCGTGGCCTCTCGCGCCGCTCCCCGCTTGTCCTGGCCCCGCCCTCGGCCTGATTGGCTGCCCTGGCTCCTGATGCTCCGCTGCGACCGTGAGCTGGTCCATTCGGACTCAGCCCCGGCCAGGTGCCGGGGCCTTCATCCTGCTAGAGGCGCCTCGCCAAGCGGGGCGCGGGGTGCGACGGATTCGGCGGGCGGTGGCTCGACGGCCCCGGCCCCCGCAGCTCCGACTAGGCCGTTGCCCCCAATGGGGCGACAGTCTGGCGACACATGACAGGTGGATGCTGCTATGGCCGTCCCAGGTTGTCAGCCATGCGTGCCGATGCGAGCGCGCAAAAGCTCGTCCTTCCGGATCTCCTCAACCGGCCGCGAGACCGTTCCACTTCCGAGGTCCGGCTGCAGCCGCGCCCCTCGCTCGCTGCCTGTGCGTGCCAGCAGGCGGGCCTTGACTCCGTGACGTCCCTGGCGAAGATGCAAATCCCCCAGGTTGCCAGGGGGGGCTGGGCCCTGGTGCTGCCAAGAGACGGTGGGCCTGATCCAGGGGGGGGACCCTCGATCCATGGTGCGACCTCGGGCAGGATTGCCCTCGCCCTCGGAGCTAGGGGCGCGCGCCTCAGGCTGCTTGCCGGGCGGGGGCGGGAGCGGCTTGCCAGGCTTGTTCGCATCGTCACTCCAATCTAGTGTTGCGCTGCCGCTGCCGCTGCGTTTGATCGCGACAATTCGGGTTCCCGGCTGGGGTGGGTCACCTCCTCCGTCTGCCTGGGTGCCGCTGGGGCCTGGCTGCTGAATTCTGGGGCAGAACGTCTTGCCGCTGGGCCGTCCTGCTGTGTCTGGGCGCCTTGGGTTTGGGGCCTCGGCCCCGTGGGCTGCTGGGCTGCCGGCGCGGCCTGCGTCGGTGCCCTGGTCGTCCGCCGCCGCCCCAGGTGCCGCGACTGAGCCCGCGGCTAGGCTGGGGGGCGCCCAGTCGGACCTGCCGTAGGTGGTCAGCCTGGCAGCGCCCGCGCGGCGCATGTCCTGGCCCGCCAGGACAGAAGGCAACGTCGAGTCGGCGCGAGTCCGTGCCCAGGCCGACCGCCCAGGCAACCAGGCGCGCGTGCGTGAACTGCTCGCAGGCTCACCCCCAAGTCCAGAAATCGAAATTCAGGTTTCCTGGGTCGAGCGCCATGCCGTCGCAATTATGCAATGGGTCCGTTGCCGCGGCAGGTGGCGCCGTGCTGTCGCATGCAGCCCTCGTCCAAGTTCCTGGCGCAGAAGCTAGCGGCGGGTCCGTACTTGCACCTGCCGTAGCCGACCTGAGGCCCACCGGCTCCGATCGCGTCGAGGTGCCGAGCTGTCGGGCACCGGCGTCGAGCAGCGGCGGCGGCGGGCAGTTGTTCGGCAGGGCTGGCAGGAGCGCCGCTGCCAGGCAGTGACAGAGAAGCTCGGTGACCTGGCTGCGCGTCGTCTGCGGGGGCCGGCTTCTCCGCCCGCGCGTCCGCCGCCGCCCGGGCGCCCCCGGTTGCTCGAGGAGGGCGCTTCCGTCGCCCGCTCGGCCCCTTGCTGCTGGAGAACCAATAGGGAGGCCTCCGCCTAGCAGAGGGCCCTGTCGCTGCGCGCCTGGGACTGGGCGCGTCGGCCCGTCGCCCCCCGGCCGCCCCCCGGCTTTCCTCGCCGAGGGGGCCTTGCTGCGAGCGCCCTCGTTCGCGGTGGGCGGAGCGGGCGGGCGCCTGCGCTCTCGTTTCGGCGGCCGCGGTGCCCCGCTGCGCCATCCCATGGGGTGTCTTGTGACGGTCGCGCCAGACAACCTCGAGCGCCACCATTGCTCTCGTCGATGGGTCCGAACGCGGCGGGGCCCGCTGCTTCCTGTCGGCCATGACCGACCAGACATCTGGCGAGGACGTTGATGCTGGGGCTGGCTGGTAAACTGTCGATGAACGGTATGGCGCTGAACCTGGCGTCTGGGCCTGCCCTTCCGCGCGCCCGCGGGCCTCCTGGGCGGGCCCCCCTTCGATCCGCGGCGCGCGCGCCTTGCGCGCCGAATGGCCGGGCGCCCCAAATGGGGGGCAGGCGGCGTGCGAAGTTGCCGCCCTGCATTCCACGCCGTCGCTTTGAAGGCGCGGGTCCAGTCCTCCAGGCCTGGGGCGCCGCGTGCCGGGCCCTGCGCCTGGGCGTCCGTCGTCCGCCCGCTGGTCGGGCTAATGGCGAACGTGCCTTGCGGTGTCCCCATGATTGGCTCGCGGCGCCTTTCGCGCGTGGCCGCGCATCTCTTCCGCGCCGGGCAGGTTCCGAACTTGCCCTCGTCGGCGCGGCGCCCGGGGGTGGCGGCGCTGAAAGTGCCCGGACACTGGGGGCCTGTCTGGGCGAGAAGGTCGGGCATCGGCGTGCTGCCCGTGGGCCTGGGGGCCCGGCACCCCTGCGGCCGGGCCCGTCGCGCGCGCAGATCGCTGCTGGAGACGCCCCGGTCGCCCAGGGCGCGCGGGGGGGGGCGGGCGCCGAGGTGTCGCCTGGAATGGTTTGCCCGCGCGTTTCCAGCTCACCACTCCAACGGCCTGCGCGTCGCAATCTCCGGCAGGCACCGCGTCGGCGGGCTGCCTTCCGAGCGGCTGCGAGAAATTGCCTGTCTCTGTCGCCTCTCGCGCCCCAGCATCGGGTCCGAATCCATTGGGGCACGCGTCGCCCCAATCGCCGCGCGTCGTTTGCAGGGTTCAAATCTGGCATCGCTGCCCCGCGGCGCAGGGGGGGCCGGGGCGGCGCCGGGCGGGGGGGCACGTGGAGGGCCTGCCGCGAGGTTGCGCCCCGGAGCTGGAAGCCCCGCCTCCCGCGCGCGCCACCGCTCGGGCACGGTCCAGTCCGATTTTGCCCCAGGGCCCAACGTCGGAGCCTGCCGGGGCGACCGACCGAGCGCAGATGGCGTAGTCGCCTTTCTCGAGCGCCGCCAGGCTGGCTGGGGCCGCCGGCGTATCCGGGATTCTGTGAAGGGCTTTGAATGGGTGGCCGCGCGTGTCCAGTTCCCTCCAACTGACTGGGCGCCCGCTCGGCCTGGCCACTTGGCGGCGGTGCGGAGCCGTCGCCGGGAGGCTTGCGCCCTGGGGCAAGTCCCCAATCTGGGCGCGCAACGCGCGGAAGTCCATGGCGCGCATTCCGCGGTTCGCTCCAAGGGTGTCTCGGGTGGGGAGGTGCGCCGTGTCAGGGGTCGCAGAAGGCTGGGGCGGCCTCCCATGCGTCCCCGGCAGGGTAAGGCTTGCCGCGCGGGCATAACAGCACTTTGGGCTCGCGAACCACGATGGGCACGGTTGCCAGGGGGTTCGCGCTCCAGCAGGAGCCGGGCGGCATCTTGTCGGTTCAGGCAGATTGGAATGTAGCTCTTTTCCGCTCTGCGGCCCGTTCGCCCAGGGCGGCCTTGAGGTGGTCCGCGGGCGGCTGCCCTGTGCGTCGCTGACATCGCAGGCGCCGCGGCTCCAGCTGGCTGGGGGCAGCCGCGGGGCGCCGGGGGGGGCGGGGCCTCTTTCCGCCGCCGTCTGAGCGACGCCCCTGACCGCGTCGGCTCGGGCGGGAGCTGGCCCTCTCTCCCTCGAGCAGCCTCCTTCTGGTTATCTAATTGCCGCGGGCCAGTCAGGTGCAGCAGCGTGGCCCAGGCGGCTGTGCGCGCGTAGTTAGCGAGGCCCAGGCCGAGCTCCGGGTCGCGCAAGAAGCCGTCGCGACTGTGGAGCTTGCTCCGCCTTGGACTGGGGCGCGTCGCCAGATCCGCGCGCGCGGGCGTGAAGGCCCATGACGTCCGGCCCATCCGCGGGTCCATCAATAACCTGGCCCTGACGGACTGGAGGTCCTCTGCCATGTGATTTCAGTTGTGGTCATCTGGCAGCGTCGAATCGACCAGGGCGGCGAGGCTGAGCTGGCGCTGGCCCCGTGACGTGGCAATCGTGTTCTCCTTGGCTCTACGCTCCGCGTCCGCGGCCATCTTGGCCGCGTCTGCGGGCGCGGCCTCGTCCACGTCGGAGTCGTCAGACAGCGTGGCGGGTCGGAACTCCATGTCTTCCTGCAGTCGCTGCCGGGCGCCTGCCAATCCAGGGCCTGCAAGCTGTGTCCATATGCCGGCTTCAACTCCCCATGCTGCCAGGGCGTAGAGCGGGGACTCGGTTGTGGCGCAGAACATCTTGCCGTCTCCCGCGACGACGACTCCCACCCGCGCCTGGGCGCGCGCGAGGTCGAGCTGGTGTTGGGTTTGGCGGTTGCAATGATGACCAGGTCGGCTTCGTCTCTATGGCTCGAACCGACGGTGCGAATCTTGATGGGGTCCTGCTGGGAAAGCTTGGACATCGTTTTCCCAACCTCATGAAGGTCAACCCGAGGCCGTTCGCCTGCGTGGCGGCCTGCCGGAAGATTCTCTGATCTGTGGCCCTGGCGGCAACTCGGCTAGGCTGTCTCGGGGTCGTGGTGCGCGATCTGGCCTGCGGGGGCCTGTTGGCGGAAACGTCGCGCGACGCGCCACGGCCGTGCCCCAGGGGGCCTACCTGGTGGGGCCGCGGGCCCCCCTGTGCATCTGCCATCTCCTTTTCCCATGCCTTTGCCAGGTCATCCTCTGTTGGCACATCCTTGTGCTATTGCTGCGGTGGCTTCGCGGGAGTCAACGTGCGCCGGAAGTGCGCGGATGCGGTCGTATTCCTGAGCGCCGTACGTGGGGTTCTGGGAGCCACTGAGACCCGGTGGAATGCGGCCGTCCGCAGCGCGTTCCTTGACCAGGGCAGCGCCCGTCAACGCCTTGGACAAAAGACTGGCTTCTCTCCGGGGGAGCCCCTTCAGAAGGCGCCCGTCTGACACTGGCTTGTCTCCGTAGAAGCAGTAAGTAGGAGGCCCGCTGGAGGACTCGGGCGCATGGGATAGCATCTGTCCAAGAGAAAGTTGTGATCGGAACATAAGCCGAGCGAGTCGGGGAGGCGCTCCATCGCCAAGTTGGCGAGCCGCATGGCGGCCGTTCGCTCGGACACCGCGGCATGGCACAATTGCCTCGCGCCCCCGACTGCCAAAACATGCCCGCCCGAACGGGCGAGGAACGACAGGGAGATAGTGGCCAGGGCCTCGGTCGACTGCTCAGCGTCGCCCGGTTTTCTCGCCTCGCTCAAATATTAGGCGGGTGTATCTGCCGCCCTCGCCCTGTTGGATCACGCAAAAAAAGCCGGCTGCCCACTCTGGGGGGGGGGGGCAACCAGGGAAGAGCTGTGTTGGGATGGTGCTTTATGGCCACGCCGTGGACCCTGGCGCGCTCGAAGGGGCTGGAAGGATCCATTGAAAAAGCGTGCCCTGGGCATTGGAAGCCCCCTTTGTTCCCCACCTCGTGCGAACGGAGGGCCAGTCGTCGGTGATGACTGGGAGCGAGATGCCCAACAGGGCCCCCTGGTCAACCTGCAACAAGAGAACCTCCCAGATGGCCGTCCATACGCCATTCATCCGCATCTACGGCAGGGCATGGTTGCCCCTTGGGCCTAGTGGCGGTGGCGTTTTCAGGATGGAGACCGCCCCACCTGGAGCCGAATCTTGCGATCATGGTCTTCGCCGGGAAACGCTTGCACGAATGGCGCCCGTTGTGTCTGGTGGCGGTGGTCTTGAGAACACCCAACGCAAACGGCCACTCCACCATCGTGTCGGCGATGTGGGCAGTGACCGGGGATCTGTGCGACACGTCGATGGGGGCGGGCCGCTCGATTGTGAAATCGCCTTGCCAGGAGATGATGTAGTACTCGTCAATGTCCCGCTTGCGCTGTGCCAGGGCCTGAGCGCGCCCGTAGTCCCGAAAGAAAGGCACAAACAGGGATAGAGCGAGAGAGAGAGAGAGAGCGAGAGAGAGAGAGAGAGAGCGAAAGACAACGAGAGAGAGAAAGAGAGAGAGATAAAAAAGAGAAACAGAGAGAGGGAAAGAGGGGATATAGTGAGATATGGAAGGGGGAAGGAGGGAAAAGGACATGGAAGGAAGAGGATGACAAACTGGCAAGGGGGATGTGAAGGATGGGGCGAGCCTCCAGAGGCACGAAGGCCAGGAG